ACTTGTTTGCTGGTAGGTACCCCATCCCATTGTTGTGTTGAGCCTTGCTCTGATGTAGAGGTAGATGGGGAGGGAAAAAGAACAGATTTTGCTCTGTTGAAATACAGTTCCAGCATTCCTAGGAGGTTGCATGTGACCTGAACCAAGTCTAAGAGTTTGTCTGGAGACAAAGCGCTAACAGGCAGTTATCCAGGGAGGGAAACACATGAATCCACTGCAGCTAAAGGTGGCCACACATGATGGTCATCTACTTTGTGAAGACTGGAATGGGGAAGGCTCTGCAGAAACTAAATGGGAGCACATAAAACTGGCAGGCATTGGGACCAATCTGGAATTGGAGGAAGTGTCAGTAGTCTGGGTGTATAGTAACATGGAAGTACGCATCCTTCAAGTCAATTGAGGTGAACCAGTCCCCTTGGCACAGCAATGGCAGAAGATTCTGCAGCAAGACCATATGGAACTTCTTGTGAGAAATGAAGTTCACATCCCACAGGCTGAGGATGGGACAGAGACTGCTGTCCTTCTTTGGTACAAGTAGAATACATAAAGGAGAATGAATGGAAGAACAGGTCGGATTCCTCCCTTCAACAACAGTGTGGCTACTTCCTCTGCCACTATGCGAGGGAGGTGTTGAACACTCACACCCAAGTGGTGGAAGGGTGTTGAACTTGATGCAATATCCACTCTCTAGAGAGGTAGCTTTTCGAAGTGGCCTCATAATTAAAGATGCAGCGTCCCTGTGTTGCTGCCACATAGATCCACCTTGTCGTGGCTTCCACGTGATCTGCTGGCATCCACTGCTCCTTCTGTACCTGGCCCTGCACTGACCTGACAATGACGTGAGTTTGGCCACAGATGTTGTAAATGCATCTCCTGCTCCTGGTACGTACTCTTCAAGTAGCAGGATGTTGGCTCCAGCTGGGCCCATACCTTCTATGGCTCCTTCATGGATATAAGGAGCATTGGAAGGAATGGAATGGCCACTAACATTGCATCTGCTGCCATCCAGAGGATCTGCTTGGAGAAACATCCCAGGTTTTCAGAAGGGGATTCCAGGTGCTGGACCTGAAGAGGGTAATTTGATGTTGCTGATGGGGCAGGCGGCTGAGATGCTGGAACCGGCATCTTGGGTTCTTCTGGGTGAAAGACTGCGAGCCCTCACTATAGGAACTGAGGGTCAATGGAGCCTTTTTCCCCTGGATAGCTGTGGTAATAGTGCAGCTGTGAACATCCGATAGGCCTCCTGGCCCCAGGTCAGCAATGGAAACCTGGCCTGTTTTCTCAGCCTGTGGCTACATGCATGAATTAGTGCAGGAGAGAAGGCAGCTCCATGTGGAGAAGGGCTAGCAACTGGACCTGTTGGTGACACTGTGGGTAGCTGTTCCCAATGTAGGGAGATCAGCACTCTCATTGAGACAACTGACCATGGGCAGGCTGGAGTATGGAGTGATGAGTTCTGTATATCTCCTCCAGAGTTGGACTCGGTCCCCACTGGGCCTGGGTCCCCACATGACAGGGATGGGTCAAGGCATCAAAAGTACTGGTGTTCGTGCTGATGCAGATGGTGCTGGTTGAGGATGGTGCTAGGACACTTCTTGTGTTTGGCCTTCTGCACCTCCGCCATCTTCTTGGCCAGCTTCCTCACCCAGTGTTCTTATTTCGCATTCCCAGGCTGCTGATGGAGGGCAGAAAGGAGGAACTGCCCATGAGGTGGATTGGTATTCAGGCAGCGCCGCTGTGGACAAGTTGAGTACTCTCTGCCTTTTTTTTTTTTTTAGCCTACTGTGTGAACATCTGACCATGCACACAGGTGTCCACACAGTTCTCCTCTCCCAAACAGAAGAGGACAGGCGTATCAAGTGCCCATCTGTGGGAGGCAAGTGACTTCCACAATGGATGCACCTCCAAAAATTCGCCTTGAGCGCCGTCAGGAAGAAGAGAAAGCAGAAAAAACAAGAGGAAAAATCTGAGAAGCAACAATGATAGAAGAGCGGGGGTTAGAGGTTTTTTGGGGGAAAGAATATAACAAAGGATAAAGCAGGGTTTTTAAAAGAAGACTGAGGACAGAGCAAGTGAGGGAATGAGTTACAGAAAGAGGTCAACAGAAAAGTTTTAAGAAAGAGCTGATACAGATGTTGAGAAATCACAAGAGGAAACACCTGAGGCACCCACAATGGTGGCTGGAAAAGAACTGGGGGAAAATGGCAGGAGGTCTTCCTAGATATACCAGGGGGAGGGAAGTGATGGGGCTCCTGCTGGAATAAGTCTAGCTTGCAATATGGGCACAGAGCCCACAAAGAAGAACCCCAATTACAAGCCAAATGGAGACTGTGCCAATCTCCACCCTGACCACCATGAAGGCAAAAAGGCAGGTGGAGATGCAGGACGATCTGTAGAAGCAGCAACCCAAGCTCAAAACAGCAGTGCCAGCTCGATATGCCACCACCTTTTCTGAGTCCTGTCCCTGGCTGGTGCCTTTTCCTCCCCAATGTGCCTTCTGCTTTGCCACTGCAGCTCTAAATCAGCCATGGGAGAAGCCGCTGTCTCGTCCTAGCCTTACAAACATCTTCATGTCAGAAGGTCATAAAGGAGGAGGTTTAACCTCCCAAGGTGATTGTGGGGAGTCACGCTGTACATGAGAGAGCACTACCTTCTTTATTGCTTTAAAGCAAGAATGATTCATGTTATGCAGCAGAAGAATTATTGCAAGTTTCAAACACTAGGGTGCCACCTTATGCCAATCTAAGTGTTCTTACATTTCATTCCAGCTTATTATTGCCAGGCACTCTACGTACACTACACCTGTTTATGGAGCAGCAACAAGAGATTCGTATTGTTTGTTTTGGCTGAATCTTCTAACACCGCACATTCAGGTAGTCCAATGCCAGGCAGCACTACTACAATATTCATGCATTTCTGCCTTTTGCAGATGCCATAATATTGCAAACTCCCATAAAATACAATGTTGACTATGCATTTACTATTTGCAGGAGAGAAACAATAAAATTATGCATATTACTCCCCATATGTGTATGGATGTGGGACACAGAGGGGGGTGGATAGAGATGGAATTGCTCTGCCATTCGACCTGGTCAACAGATCTAAGTGTGACGAGAAGGGGCATATGGACTGTTCATGCACACAGAAATCCCCATTCAGTTCAGTTCAAGGTAGATGACTACATCCCAGTGAAATTCATGCAAAAACTGCTGTGAATGTCTTTTGGGTCAAAGGTATGATTTAATATTGCCCATCTCCTAAACACACACACATGCTACAGTACATAGCCTGATATACTGGTGATACAAGTTTAAACTTGATTTTTCACTAGACATGAAAATTATCACAGCACCAACTTGGACCTATTTTAGCTGTCAACAAAGCAGATGTGGACATTGTAGTCTCACTGCTGCACATCTCCTTGGACTGCCAGGATTACATCATAGCAAAATAAAAAGTAAAAAAAATCAAGGGACCTTTGTTCAATAAAAAAGTGGTGACAGGTACTCCTAATTCACTGTTGTTAGTGAATATTGACAAACCAGTAATGAACACCCTTCAGCATGTCATTCAGAGTAAGGACATTAGCATTCTTTAAAGGTCAAAAGCAAATACTTTAAAAAAAGCATAATTCCTTACAAATCACACCTCAGATACTGAAAAACCATCCATCCATCCGAGGTATATAGAAATGTGAGACCTGTTATATTACAAAAATTAGATATGATGTAGTTGCAGGTTCAAAATATCTGTGGCTATCTAACTAGTGCTCTACAATATAGATTCTGGAGGACATACATACACACAGATAGTATAAATGGCAAAGTATCTGCCCTTGTACATAAAAAATATTAATTTTTTAAAAGTCCAGAACCACCTGGAAAATTGCTCCTATAGATGAATGCTTCTCAAACATTGTGCTCAGACCCAAAAGTGTTTTTGATGCATCCTTGGCTGTGCTACACAAAGAGGACTTTTAAATGAAAGTCAGGGGCAAATGGATGAGAGCCAGAAATTTGCTTTTTTACATTCAATCTACCAGACCCAAAACACGTTTTACACAAAAAACCAGATGCAATGGGATTCCAGCTTTTTTTTTCCAGTCCTAAAGATTCTGCACAGCTGATAGCCTAGTTTCCCCGTTTCAGTTCATGCTGTGCTAGTGATACATCGAAGCTGCCAGTATAGGCTGTTCCTGTAAGAACAGTGCTGTTAGCCACTGCTCTCTGCCAAACTACAGTATGTGGTCTACTGCTACCACTAGTGCAACAGCCCATATTGTGGCAGAGCTGTAGCCGAGATGGATGCCTTGATTTTCCAGTGTAATGAATTGTAGGACAGCAGGTTGCAGAATGAACAGGCTTTCAGTGCAGTCCTGTATCTGTCTACTTAAAAGTACATCCCACTGAGTTCAGTAGGACTTACCCCAGGAAGTGAGTTGGACTGCAGACTGAGGCCAGTATCCAGTACAGGCCAGGAACTTGTGGGACAGTAGCCCATACAGTTCCCAGAACTATCAAAACAAGTTGAAGAGCTTGGAAAGCACTTTTTCTGGAAGTGCTTTCCAGATCAGTGCGACAGATCAGTCGCACTTGTAAAAGGGAGTTCCACTTAACTGACCTGCTCCAGAACTTATTTATTTAATTTCCATGCCACTGAAAAGCTGAAACTGTATGGGCCGTTCACAATGAGTAGTTTGCTGCTCATTTTTAGCTTTTTTGAGGGGATGGGGGAGCTGGTTCTAGCTGCACAAGAGAATGAGTGCAGGTACAGCAGCAGAATAAGATACAGCCTCGATTTTTGTAAAATCAGAATCAGAGTACTTTAACATGGTGCATGCTAGGTAGCATCTATTTCTCTCTTAATCAGAAGAACAACAACATTTAAACAAGCAAACCAGAAAATGAATACTTGGATTCACAAAGCTTCTTGCATAATAAGAAAAAATCAGAACAAGGAGTAAAATTAAAAATTGTAACATAAGAAAAAATTATACTTACTTTGTGAGACTCTTACTAGCTCAGTCACACTGAAAACGCCTGATGTGACAAAACTGTCTTGGAAGCCCAAATGTCCTACAAAACACAAGAAATTGTACATGTCATTTGGTTTAAGCACTTAATGACAGTATTCTCAAATACTTTGGTATCCATTTAATGTGGAAGAAATTGAATATTTAATTTTCCACTTATCACTAATTGCTGTTTAGGTAGGCAGATATATGGTTAGAGTTTAGGGATGTTAGCTTGACATGTTATCAGGGAGAATTGTATATATTAAAGTACTACAGCTGGAAATCTGAAACAAAAGAAGCTCATTTTAATAAATAGTTACCTCAGATGACCCTAGCAACTTAACAACTGAAATTAAAAAAAAAAACTGTTCTAAGGAATCAGCTGGGACAGCTAAGTTCTATAATCATTTTAAACATTATTCTCTAAAGAAACATCTGATCAGGATTATCTACTTGTACATTCAAACAAAACAAGATTTAAAGATGTACTCTTCATTTTCTGAAGTTACATTAGGGAAATCTTAAAATAGCAGATGTTTAAAAAATTCTTGAAAATAAATGCTTTTCGAAAAGAAAAAAAGAAAAAATCTCTTTAAAATGAGCTTTTCAAAAGGGAAACTAAATCTTTGCATAAGGAAGCTTTAACTCTAATCCTCTGAATTTCTTTAAGAGACAAGGCGTATGGTTGCTTGCTGGTTACCTTTGTGTAAAGGATATTTTATATCAAAATGTTATTACACTTCCCAGAACAGTATTTCCCTTCTTCTATGAAAACATGTCTATCACCAAATGTTAATTTAATTTTCTGGGTATAATCAATTACAAAACAAGAAGCCTTCAAACTGCAAACTGGGCACAAGCTAGTCTGCTGAACCAGATTCTGTAGTTCATACACTACCTATCAGGACTTCAATTAGAAGCCTATAGCTGATAACCCAGCATGACCTATTGCCTTTGAAATCAGGGTAAAAGAAATGTGAGGATAAAGGGATTATTAAAAGAACTGTTAAGTCATTCTTGTATGTAGGATAAGCACCATACTTTTTAAGGTTACTCTAATTAAGATTACTGATTCTAACTTACATGCACACATTAACGAATGTAATGTAATGTTCCATATATCCAGATAATGTAAATTAAGATTTAGCTTTATTGAATTGTATTGATTTCCAAACTACAGGGAGCTACTTAAGTTTTTGCAGAACATCTCTCTCTCCCCCTCCCCACCCACAGACAAACAGAATATGCATACAATTTCAGTGGTCTGCAATGATTCTGGAATAATTAATTGAAAATTAAAATTGCAAGTCCATTACTGCAAAAGGATTTCAGCATCAATAGCATTTTTGGTAGCAACCTATATATTTTATTTGTTCAAGCTGATTTCCCAATAAATAATGTAATGCTGAATCACATTTCTGCAATCGACAGCCACCAGCTAGAATTCAGACTCTGCCAGCATTCTTTTGATTTTTACCATCCAGGGTTGCAGAGTTTGCAACGAACACTGAAACCCATGTGAAAGATCTGGGCTGAGCCAGCCTATTAGCTAATGCTTCTCCTAGTTGCTAGTAGGAGCTTCAAGCTCTTGAATACATTCAGAATTCAGTACTTATCCACAAAAATCAATGGAGGCTTTACCATTGTGTACTGCATCCTCAAATCATATGTTATTTCAGTGTAAGTCATGATGTACTTCCAATCTCAGGAAAGGACTGCTTCCTTAGACATTACTAAATGTAAGGCTTCTGCAATTCTCATCAAGTATGGAACATTGTGGGACATGGGCAGAATAACCAGAAATTATATGTATTCACCCAGGGACATTCTACACATTCTCCAGTTTGTTCATTTCATTTATGAGTTTACTGACATTTATAGTGTATTCTTCTGTTCCAATGGAAATGCTTAAGGTGGCCAACAAAATATGCAATTTAAGATAACAATTTAGCCACTGTGAACAAGTAAATATATAACAATAACAAGCTATGTACTTAATGCACAATTTGTTTAGCGTTGCACAATTTCAACAATACTTATAAACATAATATTTATAAATGAATAGATGCTTTCATGGTCATTATTACAAATGGATACTTTTTACCATTTATTGCATCACCATTAAATACTGTTTTTCAGTAGCACAAGGTAATGACAGCAGTGAAAAGTCTTGCTATACAAAATATCTCAGTATACACAGACATCTTAAAATCTTAAAATAGTAACGATCAATTAGAACCTCAAGCCTATTATCTTAACCAAATGCCTGATTAGAAAGAAAAGCCTTCCCTACTCTAACTGCAATTTGATTCCTCTTGGTTTTATCCCCTACCTAGATAATCCTCTGTTTTACTAACAATGTCAAGCAAGTTACTTCTCCTAATACTTACAAAATCAACTTCTAGAATGCTGGTTACACCTTAGGAGAGTCATTGAAAAGGTTTATGACCTGCCCAGCAGTTTGCCTAGCAGGTCAAGTATCAGCCATATGCTTTGATGTGTGAGCAGATCTGAAATGCAATGGGTACTCTATACTTATGAAATTAATTTGGGTCATCATGTATTTTGGCTTTGAATTCCTTGCAAAATGTGTACTGGTCCTTTATCTTATTTCCATGCTTGGCTCTTTGCTATATTTATGCAGACACTTGCAGTTTATTAGAGAGGTTTTGCTGGTTAGGTATATCATGCAGTTAGGGTACAGCTATAATTTTTAACATCCGTAGTGATGTGGATAGAACAATTAGACTTTGTATTACAAATGCATTGCAATATGAGATGGAGGCTAGGTTCACATGTTGCAGCAAGCAAACCGATGTTGTTGCCAAAATTTGCAATGTTTTTCTCCAAGAAAGCAGACAGACGATCAAGCTCCTGAAGGTTTGTCTCCTCCTTCCCTCTTAGTTCTCCAGGTTGCATCCCAGGAGACTCCTCAGGGAGGAATGAGGCACCTCACTTCGGCAGAAGCTTGTGAGCTGAAATCAGCTCCCCACAGCTGTCAAACAGTCTCTGCTGCACAAACAGGGCTCATGCTTTGAAGCTCAGCAGAGAGGACAAGGGAGGCACCTCACCTCCTGCTTCAGAGCAGATGCATAATCTAAACTCACGCAAAAGCAAGTGGGGGAAGTCAGCTGGGCAGTGCTACAGAAAGGAGCAGCAAACTGAGCAGATTTTCTCCTACTACTCCCCCATACAGATGCCTGTGAGAAGTTCCTTGCACATATAAATGGGAAGGGCAGCCATGCTACTCACCTGATCCTCTGCTTGTCCCCTTTGTGGTTGCCAATTGTAAGAGGTGTCCCCAGTGCCTATGGATGCTGGGTGAAGAAGCCACTTTTGCAAGTAGGAGCAAGAAGGGAAGTGAGCACCACTTGTGAGAAATGCACTTGGGCAGGTGCCAGGTTGCAAGTGGGAATGAGTAAGGGAGGCGAGTACAGCCTCCCCCTCATTGCTGCCACCTCCATGAAGAGCACTTAGGTGAGCACTGGGTTGGGGATAACCCTCTTGCCAGCAAGACTGAGAAACAGGGAAATCAGCTGAGCAGAGCTGCTAGCAACCAGGCACTACCATTCAGTGGATTCCCCCCCCCCCATACACATGTGAACACACCTTAAGTAATGCTAAGGGGCTGCCACTATATAGATATAGGCTCCAAGAGAAAATAATGATGGAAGTGTTTTGGCTTCCCATGTCTGCCTTTTAACATATTTAGCTTGACAGGCTTCTTACCTTGTCTAGCTGACCTACCCCTTAGAAGGCAGTGAGAGGAGTGAACAGGCTGATGCATGACCTCTCATTCCCCTCTCCTTCAAGCTCACTTTTCCTCTCCCCAAATTTATTCTGAAGTCAATGTTGTGCTAGCCTGACTCTCTGCTCTTTGGAAGACAAGCCAACACAGAGCTTGCTGCAAGCACACTGAGGGTCATCAAGTGATATTCACACTTGGATCTCCCTTCTTGAGACTGCATTTGTGTCTAGAGCCTCAGGGAAAAAAATCTGCTCCATCCTCCACTTCCTGAGAGTCCAAGCCAGTGACCACAGGATTTCTCTGTAAGTGCATAAAATCTGAAGATAAATAGCAAAGCTTAATTGCACATTTAGTTAAACTGTTTCCTCACTAAAATGACCCTAGGATTGACACCATCATGATTTAACTCTGCCTACTATTTTCCCTCCATAATCCCCCATGAAATTCAGGATAAAGTTTGGCTACTGTAATACGTAAAATGCAACCTGAAAGAAGGCAACTGTTGTCCCTGAGAAGCAGACTTGAACCTTGAGATAAACTTTTGTCTCACTCTGACATTAACAAAGTCTTCTTTCCAAATTTGCAACTGCAAATTGCATGTTGAATTTGAGAGGCGCTTTTGTTCACCTCTGCAATGCAACTTGCACCCTTCTGCAAAAATCAAGATGATATACTTAGAAATTCCAGGCAGTTTTTCATGCAGGCATGGACCAAACCTGCATCAGTATCATGTACTTCAGACTCTCCCCTTGAACATTAAGCTTGCCTGACAATTGCTTTCATGTCTAGAAAGCAAGATACAAATAAGCATGAACTCAAATCAGAGTAATCATATGTTTCAGAACCCAGCAGCTTTGTAATTCACTGCTTAAAATTAATTTGTAGCAAGCTAGAAAAGATTTCAATGATCATTTAATAAAAGGTGACTGCTGTGAAAACTACACCCTACTGTGGAATTCCTGTTCCTTATTCATACATTTGTATATGAAGAGCATTCTATGGATTATACTATATTAGTCCAATGACAATTTATTAAAAAGTTCCACATAGAGTGTGCTTTTTGGGATTTTCTTTTAATCGAGATATATAGGTAAGCCTATAGCCAATCCCCAGGAAATAAGCTGCACTCAACTCAGTGGGACCTACTTTTGAGTAGATATGCATAGGCCTACATGATTAGACACCGACTTATCTAAATACTGAGGCATGCTTGAAATTGAGATGAAATTAAGACTTTTAAAATTACAGTCCTATTCCTTTTCCACACATAGGCATCACTGGCATTGAAATACAAGATTTATATTATTTTCCTC